GTTAACATCAAATTTAACAAACATAAATTACCAATATTTATATGGTCACGAGGGATTAGAACTGAAGAAAAAATGCTTAAAATCATTCGCTCACTTCAATTAATATACTATATATTTATATATAATTGTATATTCGAAAGAGTTTTGTTCAAATGAATTAATTAACTTTCATCGGAAATTGGTAATAATTTAAACGGAATGCAAATAAAGCAATTCACTTTTGACATTGAATTATAATGCAAAAATTGCTCAATACATATTTTATTTTAGAAAAAAAAGCAGAAATCGATTTTCACATTAATCAGAAAGAAAGATTACATCAAAGCTTTCGTTTATGTTTCCTTTACTAATGAATTACTGATTATTGATTTGTTTTACACAAAATGTAATTGAAAAATTAATAGAATCAACTGATTCTGTTGATTATTACTTGCTTCCATAATGACAATAACAATTTATACAAGCAGTCCGATAAACTAAAGAGTAAACTCCAAATACTATGATGGAGTTTCTCTCTCTGAGCTCGGATGAAGAGCTGGGTGATGTTAATCAGCCAGCTCAGAGAACGAAACTCCATCATAATCATCTAACTGAGCTAAACATTCTCTCCACTATCACAAAATACTACATCACTTTCATGAATAACCAAGAAATTCAGTGAAGTAAGTTTTTCTATCTTAGTTTATGGTTTCCATACAATCGACAAAATAGCCATTATTGCCGTTCATTACTACAACTGATAACTTACTTGATTATACGCATACGATATCGGATCACAAAATGTCACTATATTTCAATCCTAATAACTTAATCGAATAGAATAATTTCGCTAAAAAAGTAAAATAACCTATTTATAGCTATTAAACTGCGAATCACTTGAGTTGTAGATGCTCACAGCTGATGAGTTCCATACCAGGACGAAATGACTGTCCAGTGCTTCTAGATTTCTAATGATGGTCCAACAATGATTCATCCATGATTGATAAACGTCTTATATTGAAGATAGTGTACACTGCTAATCAATAATATTTTGATACAGATATATGGAGTAATTCATTAAAGTTTGTAACCATCTAACTAATCTTCAACGTATTTATTATTCCACCATTTTAACAACAAATGGTGAACAGGCGGTTGCAATTTGATGAATCTTTATATGACTTTATCATCAAAAACAGATAATGTTAGCTCATCTTGACTAGCGATGAAAATAATTATCATAGAATCAAAGTATTGTCAACATATACTTCCTGAGCATTTACAATATCTGCTTATATATATATATATATATATATATATATATATATATATATACATATGTACCATATGAGATGGGCTGTTTTTAAAACCGACTCATTCCAAAACCAAGAACACCCGAAATACATGTCTTTTTCTTAGAAGTGGTACATATAAAACACGGAAATGATGATCATAGAGTTGTTGAACTAATCTGAAGTTATACCATTTTTTTAAAAATATGTAATCACTGTAGTGTGTAAAACCCGGTTTTTTAAATAGCTTGCAATTTAATTAGATATAACTCATTAATCAATACTGGGTAAATAAAAAATCAAACTTACTTTCGGCAGAACAGATTTTGATTTATTCTGTGAAATCCAACACGTAACAGTAGCATTTGACAACTATAATCATAGAATGGTTGCTTACATTTTTTTTTCGTGTTCAACGATACATGTTGCTGGGCAGTTCATTTCCTTAGTTTACAGCTAGAAAATTCATGGGAGACCACCATATGTCATTGTTTATATCAACTAGTTTTTATCAAGTTCCGTATTTGACTCATTGTTGCAAGTATTAATATATTGGTTATTTGTGAGAAATAACGTGAGAAACAGGAAATAGTTTGAGTGATTTGCTTCAATAAACTCATCGCTTTATATTAACCAAATATACACAACTATTGTAAGATAAAATATGTTGCATGTGTAACTTTTGTGCATGTACTGACAAAGCCTTATAGTTTGCTTAATAACTCATGCACGACTACCTATCTAGAATGACAGTAGAGTTTTGTTTTCATTCTGTTTCGTTCAATGCTCTTTCCTCTTTGTTTAAACGCGGTTACAATAAAATTAGTTTGAATAGGTATGTTTAAGTGACTGTATGCCTTGATTATTTCGCGTTTTCTAACAACTTAATAAAGAAATTATCTACATTGATCATTTAAATTGCATTATTGGTCTATTTACAGTTTTCTAAGGCTTAGTTTATCCCCTGTTCTCTGATATGAACGCTGTATGAGACAGCCGATATACAGGATGAAAACAAACACAATTATAATAAACGCTAAGGCTTAAAATAAGAATTTTAATGTAAAGTACATACTAATAAGCAAGAAACATCTACTAAGTGAATGGAAAAATGACTAAACTTTCTGGGTTTAACGCATTTGATAAATAGTGAAAACGTTAAGGATGATTTCAGTCTATTGTTTTTGAAGACAATATTCATAGCTTCACAAGCGAAATAAACAGATCACTATTGTTTATTATGTATATCGTCACAGGATTCTAAAATTAAGTCTTCTTTCATACTACGTTGAAACAGCTGTCCAGAGCTTATAGGTTTTCGGTGGTTGTCTAAATACGATCTTTACGTGATGTCGTCTATGAAAATTACATATCACGCATAAATATAGCTTGTTTTCATCAGTGATTCCTTCTATCCAAAGTGAAAAGAAAAGCTGTTATCAAGTTAAAATAGGTTCTAAGCAGGATTACATATCAAATAGCCACTGACATTTTTTTTATCGATTAATCGAAATGTATTTATTTAATAATACTAAAATCATAAACAACAGTTTTGGAAGTAAACTAAATTCTATTAACAGGTTGAGAAAAATTATATCAATACCAAGTATATGTCTAATGATTAAATTGACTGATGGCGAAGATGTTACGTTAATATTTTTTTAAAATCAGAATAACACAGAAAATTAAAATAACCCTTTGTGTTTTTCAGTAAAAACATTTCTTTTCGATAGATTCATTTAATTCCGCAGCATAGTTGTATCTATAGTTGTTTGATAAATATCTAAGTCTATAGAAATGTGGATGAGATTGCATCGAAAAGATATGAACCTCAATGAAGTTTTGTATCTATTCAATAATCGTCATTTGATTTGAATAAACTCACATTGGAAGCAGAAGCTAACGAGGAATTTCGCTATTTCGATATCCTATTTAAAAGAAGGCCAGAAGGTTCTCTACAAAAATCTATGTATAGAAACCGTTGCAGAACGGTCAATAGACAAATTTCCATAGCTTGATCTTAATTAGTGGGAAGTGAAATGTAATCCATACTTATCCTCGAGGACTAGGCAACTTTTTTCTCATGAGTCGATAGAAGAAGAATTACCTCAGCTTCGACACATACTCATCAAAAATGGCTATCCACCTAGAATCACCTGTCTGAACTTAGTACCAAGATTACATATTGGAAAAAAGAAAACTATTTTGATTAATATCGAATTTAAAGGTAATATGACTGTCGAAATCTCGAGAAAAATGATTTTCAAAATGAAACCTATTCAGTTAAGCTTCGCATGATCTTTTCAAGCCGGCTGACCATCAACCCATGTGCTAAGAATAAACTTTTGCTTCGGGCCATATTGTTGGGCGTCTATAATTTCGTTCACTCATATAAGTAAGATTTCATTGGCCTGTGTGATTTTTTAGGAAGTAATTTGTACAACCAAAAGAAGTGAATCAAAGGACGTTCGAATCAAAACTGTATTAATAGTATTAATAATACTGACATGTATCCTCTATCAATTTTCATGATTAATATATTCAATTATTATCATGACCCTTCTTTCATTTCCTTATATGTCATGCGAACAATAATCTCGCATATTTCTGAGCTTGAAATTATTTTCTCCACCCCCGCCCTATTCGTCTCTAACCTCCGAATAATGACGCAAACTCCTCTTATTATCTCAAATCTCAAATCACTTCAAGTTGTCGTTTCATCACTCTTTATATAGACATATATAAGACTTAATTAACGATTATAAATACGAATGTTGAGCTTCAGTAAATTATCACATGAAAAAGACATTCAAATAAAAACATTACAAAGAATCGACTCTTGGAAATATGAAAATTATGTACAGAAAAAAAGTCAACTTATATAATAAATATCCTAATAAGAAATTATAGTTTTCTAAATATAACTTCTATGAAACATAATTGCTGTGAAACTGTAAAATACAAAAAATATTAACGTTCAAAATCATTATCCAATTAGTAAAGCCTTCACTTTGTAGTTAGATGGTTGATAAATGTAATTAACCAATTTAATAAGCTTCGATTAGGTTTCTTTTTAGTAATATACAGTCTAATAACCGTGACTAGTATTATTCATATAAGCCTATTGTATGAAAGCCAAAACAATATACGAATTCGTGAGCGTTCTTTTTTGCAATAGTCATTTAAGTTTTGAAGATGTTTTAATTATGCTTATTTTGTGTGAAATGTATTGTGATAAGTGATCAGTTTAGTTAAAGGAGACATCGCTTATTTCGCTAACTAGTTCTTCGATCTTTCAACATTCATCCATTGTAGACTCCGATCAACTACTTGAATTTATGAGTGACCCGTCAATTTAGATAGTCCATTTATTCTATCTCTCAAATTATAGAATATTTTATTAATTAGAATGCAGTTGTAAAATACTTTGGTTACTTTAATCAAAATGATTTATCAATATCACATTGAGCTGATTAGTCCCAAACAGGACGAAACATGCGTACACCACAGGCCACATTCTATCCCTTCTAAATCCAATAATCAGTGGGTTTAAGTGAATAAAGGATGCAAACGTACATTTTATGTTGACGACCCTAAGTTAGAACTATTTCAGCATTTTGGCGATATTTATTTGTGATTCAGTGGAATTTATCTGTAGTAATAAAAAATTTATCACAATTTTTTTTAAAGTAACAAATACTATCATTCTAGTGTACTATTTGATTTTAGACTTCACTCGATACAACATGTACACCAAACAACCAGCATTACGATCTTCAAACAAATCGAGAATCTGCACATCATGACTGTAAGTGGACTAATTTGCACAAAATGAAGATATATATATATATATATATATATATATATATATATATATATATATATATTTAGTGGTACTAATTATTTTATTTACTACTTTAATCGGTAAAGTAATACAACAAATTATTACTGCATATTTAAAATATATATGATGAACAACGAAGTTATTAACTCATGTTAAAACAATAGTTGTTCATCATCTAGACGTAATAAATGACTGTTGGGGAACTCACTTGCAAAAGGCCATAATTTTTTAATTTTATTTTGGAATTTGGAATCTTTTGTTTTCGTGCCGAAGACGCTCATTTTGACCTTCAGTCTGCATTTCCCACTCGGAAGTTCTTGACTGTCATTGATTGATGGATTATTTTAGTAAGCTATTTTGTGACTCTGACCAAGGCTCTTTATTTTTGTGTGAATAAGCTTGAGTCGGACTTGTGTAATACATTCTCTACGTCTTATCAAGACTTCTTCCTCTAGTTAGTGGGACCTGATAAGATCCTATAAGTGTAACCAATTGTGTCGCTGAATCACTGATCTTCGTTCCGTTTACTGAATAAGGTGAACTCGTGATACCTGTAACCATATCAGTTCCGTACGGTATATGATGCCTATTTGTATTTTAATACTACTCTATAATGGCACGAATCCATTTTTTTCCCAAAAAAAAAACATTAGCTATATCAATACAGTTTGAAATGGACGAAGCTATGCAAACAAAACATTTGTATAATATGATGAGAAGATGAAAGTTTACAGGATTATGTGATATAATTGCGTAATACATTTTGAACAACCTGGTCCCACATATATACTTGGTATGACATTAAATATGAACAATATAGAGCGTTAACTATACACATTAGAAGGCTATCAGAAACAAAGATATTAATAGTAGTGATAAGTACATAGTGTGAAAATCATTCTGTATAATAAATTAGTTTAACCTTAATATAACTTCCTATCACTGACTTATAAATTGCCTTGATTGGTTTAGTAATTTCATCCATGCATATTAATATTATTGCATATTAAAGTAAAGTCTGATAAAGATCAAATTGAAAAAAATACTGTTCGCTTAGATATGTTGTTCTATGTTAATGCTGGGTCAGGCCGTTTCAGATGTATTGCGGAAGTACATCAAAGCGACAAATTGTTTGGAACAAAATATTGATCGAAATTCAGGTAAAATTATCAACAGGATAATTTAAAAACTTTCTACGAATCATATAAATGATAATTTACACTAAGTTCATGTTGTTACTGTGTTATACTTTCCTGTGTTTGAACTTGAAACGTTCAAGATATAATGAAATAAACTAAATTTATGTTACTTAACACTACCTCTCTTATGTTTTCACTCATTATTGACGCATTGTAGCATGTGGATAACAAATTAAACGGAATTTCGAATTTTATAATGATAAAAAATATGTCGGGATTTATAGTGTCGTATCTTCATAATTTTAATCATGGATTGACCTTAGTCTAACCACTATTAGAAACGTGGAAGCATTGAACGGTTGTTTCATCCCTGTATGGGTTTCCTTAGCAATGCATATTCACGATCCTGCTATTGAGCATCAGGTGTTAATGTCTAACTTCAATCGATTTACGATACCACACAATCCTCATCTATCACCTGAGTGAAATAGTTATATCACTCACAACATGGTTGAATTCCATTGGTTCTAGTTTCTCATTTAAATATCAGAGGTGACATCTTGAAAGAAGTCACTGGCTATTTATCTTGGCAGACCAGCAGATAATCGAACTGGTACTTAATGTGTTGCATATACTTCCCAACTCTTTCTATCATTATTGATTATTTGTTGTTAATTGTGAATGAATACACGTTCTAGCGAAGTAAATCATGTGATCTTCATCTCAGTTATGATGAAGTCTGATAGAATAGTGATGGTTGGATATCTAATATCGAGCTAATGAATTGGATACGCAGAAAGACTTTCAGTGTTCGTTCGAAGTAAATTAGTGCGTTATTTCAACTAGTAGGCACATAACTAATATTAGTTCAGAGTCATTGACGAAGACTGTGATATTTTCGTTGTTTCAAACGAAAACTGAATTCAACCGAACCACCGATGCTGCCAGGTTTTTAACGATAGTCTCTCTCCAATCATATCATTTTATAAAGACAAATATATTAGAAGGGGGAATGATTAATTGAATATAACGGAACCAAACTGAAGTATATTTCTTGTCATATTATGTACCTCTAGTTATTATTGTACATCATTATTGATATATTCATTGGAACCATTGAAGGCATTTATGAATCAGCGAGTCATTTGTGGCCTGATCCGTTTTGATTAACATTCTTCACCTCCAAATTATACATATTTGATCGAACGAACTTAAAATTGAGTATAGTTAATTTTACAAAAATGAATCATTCATCAACCATATGAGCTCGTTTTGGTTGAAATATAGGTAATAATAGTTTTAGCATAAAATTTTAGAAATCACAGTATTCATACGTTCTACAATCCCTTGTATTTGAACAATTTTCAGATTGCCGTTTACCAACAAGTATAGTCACTTCCAATGAAACTTCTAACAGGGAAACACACAATACTTATCTGGCTCCTTATTACCAAGAACTTTATTATCCAACATTAAAACCAAATTATAAATCTATCTTACGTTCACAAGGACCATGTGTTTCAACATCAATAAATACCCAAAAATTTTCAAATTCCAAAACTGATCAAATAAACCTCAACACATTACAAAAACCTACTGTACCAAATAAAAGTGTTAAGCTGAGAACATTTATTCGTTCGAATTCAATGAACAAGAATAATATCGATCATACAAATATGGCAGACATGAATTATGAAGATCCATTAAAAGATAATCAGCATGTTTATCACATGGAAACATTTAATCCAACACAAAATATGACGAATAAAACTTATACCTTATTGGTAAGACCATCTGTAAACAATGTACAATCATGTCCAACGGAAACTAAACTATGCTCTGTTGACTTCCAACAACAACAACAACAACAACAACCAAATATTGTAAATATTCATAGTGATGTGACATTATCAAATCAAAAATTATTAAACAATACTTCAGTGATGTCTAAGTTGGATGAAACAAAACCATCTGGATATCTTTTAGTGTCAGAAAATGAACATTCCACTTGCATAGAATGTGAACATTATAAAGATCGAAATTCCACGACGTCTACATTGTGATCAATGTGAAATAACAGAGGGGCACTTTTGGTCAATCTCTACCCTGAATTGCTTTTTTTTTCTTTGGCTTCATTTTGTCCAAACAAAACAGTACAGAACATAATTAATTATATGAAACCATTCTATTTATATTAATCACTGTATAGTTAAATATCTATTTAATAAACAGAACTGCAATAAAGCTGTGATGAATTATAAGTCATTCGTTAGTTTACTGTTTTAAAGTTACGATTCTATTTACAGGTACACAATATTCAAGTGTTCTAATTAGTTGTAAGAACAGAAATATTACTTAGCAAGAATATGTTGGCGATATATTATGTCCAGTACCAAATCTATATATACACGATTATTTGCACCAAAACGACTCTAACACTGAACAAACTGTACTAAAGTATCAAGTTGCTTAGCCTGGTGTTCATATGTTAACTTGATCGATAAAACTTAGATTAACGCTAAAAACCGAAAAATATGATATCAACTCAGTTTTAAGAGAGAAAGAGATTTCTAAAATTCACGGAACTGTTCCTCCTTGATATTTGTCAATAAGAAATAATTACAAGACTGTTTTGTGATAAAGCCAATGCATAATATTACGTCTAATGTAAAATACCTTTAAAATGTAATTTCGATTCAAGTATTTTGTTTATCACATTGATGTAAGGATACAAATATGTGTTTATTTACTAAAAGAATAAGTGTAAATCTTTAATAAATTGTGGATAATCATGACAACTGAGATATAGCTTTTTGGTATTTCACTGATCAGAATAAAGATAGCATTTCCGAAAAAAACAAGTTGATTAGTCATTCAGCCATTTAGTTCTAAGATTGGAAATTGTATGATTTATGTTACATTATAAATGTATAACACTGTTACTCATGTTTTATACTTGATACCCAGAGTCGTGTGATATAAATCCCCAGTCTTAGGTTTTATACGTTCCGGTGGAACTTTAATCCTGAGATGACAAAAGCTTCTCATAGAAATTGAGCTCTCATCACTCAGAATCACAGATATAAAACTTTTCACTGAACTATTTGGCTTATGTGATATCGAATATCACAGGAAACACCAGTTCCCTTAAGGTTGTAAATTCGTTCTATTAATGAGTGTCCACTTAATCGTTAAATTGACTCAGAACTTTCCTTGAGACATTACCATTTATCTAGGATATCAGGTAAAAACGGATTGTAATACCGAATCTCGCAGGCTGGCTGCGACATTACAACGGTCGGTCGAATTCGATCAGCATCAAAGACGAGACAAACATTTGATTTATCACTATCCAGAGAACGATCAGAGTAAAAATTTGCATGGTTTATTTTCATAGAGCAAAAATAACAAAGACATAAATGATGTAACTCCATTTCAGTATCCGAAAATCTAAATCGAATAGACTGAAACTAAACTTGAACCTGGAACTCAATTTCAGAATACTGATTACCTCAATCAGTAATAGACACTTTCTGATACCATATTCTAGCCTAGAATATAGAATGATGTTCACAAAGTATAAAAAACATTCACTCACCAATATCATAGTTAGATTTCACATGAAACGAAGAAAACATTTATAAAAAGAATGTTAAGATATTATTATTAATTCATAAAGAAATTTCATCGTCTTCTGGTAAAGTTCCAGCATTACCAAAATCTGAAAACTCCAGTAAAGACTTCGAATGTTGACCTGAAGGAGAGACTTTCAACATAGTATCTACGTGATGCTAATCGAATCATATGGAAAATTTCGCCATAACAATCATACCAGAAAAACAATTCACCTTTATTGTTAAAACCATAAATGTAAAACAACTTTAGTTACCACTTAGATTTCAAATGAGTTTGTAAATTATACATGCCTTCAACTCAGTACAAATGTGATGAAAACGAATCCTTTCACCGTACTTGATGATGTAAAACAATGAAACTCAACATTTTCCACAAACTTATAATGACAATGGTTTTGTGCTAGCTAATGACTAGCTTCATGTGGAAATTCTCAGAGTTCAAATGAGAAGCCGTCATCAGTGGAATTTAACAGTGTCAAATGTGAGACAGTTGCCCACCGAACGTAATGGATAATGGTCACGCAATATCGTGGATTGATTCAAGTTAGACATGAACACAGTTGGATTCCGGCTCAATGCTCTAGAGGATACCAAAGATCCCGAGTTCGATTTCCGCGAATAGAGGTCATGGATGTGAACCCCTGAAGAGTCCCATACTAGTACTAAACGGTCATTCAGTTATTCCACGGTTCTAATGGTGTCTTAACACTGGTCAAGTCACGATTTCAATAATTGTAAGGAACCAAGTATTTTGTTTGAAAATCATTAAGAAATTATAGCCCTCATTTATTCCTATATCAGCCAGTTGATGAAACCAGTAATTCACCTACTACCTAATAGAGCATTCAACAAAATTAGCCTTCGAAAATAATAGTCGTATTGGTAAAACAATGTTGTTGAGTTTGTGTAATTTATGGTAAAATGAAATGTATCTGATTAAGATTAACCATAGCATAGTAAGAGCAGAGCTGTTTGTGTAAATATAAAACAGTTTAGTTTACTTATCTATTAGCCTTTACCAATAGATCAATTGTAAGCATAGCGGGTGAAGTTTCTACGATGTCGATAACAGACGTTACATTAGATTTTCACTGCCCGTACAATACATCAGTAACAAGTGTTTTTTTAGGAAAATGGTCTAAATATTATTATAGTGGCATGAACAATCTGAAACTGGAAATTCTAATTACTTCAGATCACGTAATTTACAAGTCACCTTATTATCTAATAATTAATTACAGTCATTGTTTTTTTTGTTGAAATTTCAAATAAGATACGGATTATTTTCGTATTAAATAGACTAGCTCAGATGACTATCGTTATGAAAATGATTCTCACAAACAAGGATGGTAGGAAATAAAGTCATATATACAAAATAAACCGGACAGTTTTAAGTTACTAGTCATGTCACGCTCAAAGAAAATACTGAATAAAATAGGGTTTCATTAAAAGTACATATAAAAGTTAATTATAACATCAATCTAATGAATTTTTTCTAGAAATTATGGTGGAAATATAAATATATATGTGTTTACTCTTATCTGAAGCAGACGAATCAAAATCTGTAGCAGTGATAGTTGTCTGAACTACCTAATAATTCAGTAATTCGTAAAACGCTTTATATATGTTGACCAGGTACGTGTTATACAATTTGTAGTACATGTTCAATTGTGAAGAAACGATTTATGAGCTTATCCAGCTTAAGGTGTTGTTCAGTGTTTAAAATTAAATAATAATAATATTTGAAAGAACCTAATTTTACAATCATATTTAGTAAAATGGAACCATATCAAATGGTTCTTGATTCCTGAAAAAGTTCGCAAGCTCAATAGTGTTTTATCTCAGGTAATGTTGTGCTTGAAATGAAATGTGTCAAATTGGATTTCAGAGCTTTGTTTACGAAATGATCCCATCATTCTGTATATTGACTAACCGAGGAACATAAAATCAATTTAAAGATCACATGTAAGAAAACAAATTAAATATTAATTATCATGTGCAATAAACAATTCACTTAATAGAATTAGCTGATGTTGCTAGTGTGTCTCCAATGTAAGTGAATGTAGTCGATATAAAAGTCGTTTGTAATCGTAAGGGTGCTGGTGCTTCCTGACGTATTTAATTCCATATCATTAACATTTACACTCAAAGATGTTATCACTGATAGATTTCGGCAGTATGTTGGCTTGTTATAGGGTTGGACATATGTGATGCGCTTCACAATCATTAAAACTAAGAAGGACTTGGCAAACATAACACTCATCACTACTCAGTGATTGATCACTTTTAAATGTCTTCAATCAAAGATCACTCAGTAAGATTTCATAGTGAACTGTAAATAAGTTCCTGCACATAGCTACTGATCAATTTTGACCCACTTTTTGAGTAACGACTAAATCTAGTTACCATAATTCTCATAACGGTATAAATTAAAAATTGAAATTTCTAATTTACTTTAATTCTTATAACCGCATTTATTTGTTTTTAATTGAATTGTTGTTGATACCTGTTGATTATTTTAAGTAGCATATCAATAAAATATTCGTTCGACATATTTCTTTTTTATTTTACACGATGAAAAACATAATCTTTCAATTTTTTAATCTAAAATCATTTCATGTATGAATATTTCGATGACAGATTGTATTGATTGTCAGATATGAAGTTTGTGTTTCATCGTGGAATAAAATCAACCAGAAAACTATTAAGAAGTTACAGCTTATGCCTCCAATCCGATAAGACAAACATCTAACTAAATTATTGACTTATATATTTTTAGTTTGATTCACTATGGTGTGAGACTGCTCATTTTAGAGAAGTTTCAAGCTACTATCTACTAGTTGTCCTTTACTCAGCAGTTTTCAATGGCTTTCCGATTTATATCAGTCTGTAATGAAAACTAGTCGTTGAACACGGCCACCATAACAAGAATAATTTACAATTCTGCTTAAGATCCTATTCTTTAATTCCACCCTTACATATATACAATTTAAATTATTGACATGTCCAATCTCACCAGTCATTAAACCGTAAGCACTAAGTGTTACATTTAGTTCAGTGAGTTTTTTTCAACTAAAAAAAATTAGTTTGTTTGTATTTTGTACAGTTCTACTTTTACCAAATAAATATTAGTTATATTTTTTTCTTTTGATAATCTAAGTGAAATAAAGTTATTTCAAAAAAGGAATGATAAAATGAGGACAATTGAATCGATGAAAATAAGAGAAAGCAATAAATTCATGATACATGATATAAATGTTATTGACAGAATGCTGCAAATAAGAAACAAACTAGTTAACAGAGAATCCGGTCAAGCATATTTAGTCAACATTTTAAACTTTTTTTCATACTGATTCAGATATAGCTAATCTCTAGTGTTACAGCCTAATGAATTTTCATAATTTAAAGTAATTTTTCAAAATAAAAAATAAATAAGATAAAATATGAAGCTTCTTTAGTGAGTCAATATTTTTGGGTAAAGAAATTTATAATTAGATTAGAAAATTGAGAACATTGATTACAGTGGCATGAATATACAAGCTGATTTCTATTATCATAACATATTGTTCTTTATAGCCAAACATTGCTATAATCGATATTGAGCATATACAAATAAGAAACTATTTTTGACCATTAAGAAATCATTGATTTTAGTTTTTGTAAGTGTTTATGTCTGTCCGTTGATATGAAAGACTTCGATGCATCCGGCTGGCAAGTCTTTAATCAAACTAAACATGTTACATGGGCTACACCGATAGCCACTAGTTAATTTCACTAAGATCAGTGATTTTGTCTTGTACGGCACCAAGTAAAACTTAAAAGGTCCGCTAACTACTGTGCCCTTCTTACTGATATTGCAGAATTAACTGCGTACTTAAATTACTCCACTCAAAATAACTGGTCTGAAACGTGATGTTCTTTGATTCAAGCACCTTAAAAGTATCAGTTTATGGGCCATAAAATGTATGGTTCAAATGCATGCAAAAATTTCCACACATAATCATCGAGTTGCTTATCAAACAAACATTATCTTCTGAAGTGATACCATCAACGTACTTGTAAAATAATTTGTTTGATGAAATATATAATCTCATAGTGTGTATTGGAATGAATCATATCAAACTCTTTTATTTGTATTATTCAGTTTCATAATTCAGTATGCGTAAAATCTACTTCATTCATCAGATTCAAATTTGTGCATAGAAATATTTCAATAACAAGTTATTATGAGTGCATCTTCCCTGTCAATTATTCGCAGTTGCACCAAAAACATTCGAAATTCAACTATGAACTACACTGCTTGTGTTGGGGTCAAATTTGAAAATAAAATCAAAGTTTGAATAATTTTTCATCATTGCTTACAGAACATTTGGCAATGATTATTTTATTATTGAAAATATTACCTACCAATTCTAGCATAACGATAATGACAGCGACAGTGTTGATTGCACTTACTAAAGAATTATTGACCATGATAAATAAGCTGAGATTCAGGAGTTGAATGAATTTTTTTATTGCCCAAAGGATTGAAGGTTTAATATTCTACCCTATGGTAATATGTGTGTAATCCAAGTGCATCTAGAAACGAGATGAATACAGTATGCTTCATATTGTATGAACAATACTAAATCAATAGTTAGCCCTCTTCAAAAAACATAGTTCAATCCTGAACTTTACATAATAAACTATTACTTTAATTACTTCAACCGAAAAAGTACTTTTTCACATCAGTCATTTGTAAAGGTTACTTTTAGGTACATGATCAAACAAGCCGTTGCCTCTTTTTTCTTCTCTAAACTCATTTAATTGCTCTTTAAACATGATAAGCATATAATTATTTTATGTTTAGATACTTGTTTTACCCTTCAAAAAGGTTGATTTCAATCAGTGCTAAATTTTAAAATGAACTTAAGAATAAGTTAACAGTATAACAAAACAGTGTCTTGTTTTGTAACTTTAGTTTTTCTAACTACATTAAATATTATTAAAAATAATATTTAGTTATAATATTGATGATAAATGAAATAAATTTCTTCTATATATTGAATATTGAATATAGATCATTACCTTTTAATGATCAAGGTTAAGTGTTTTCCGTTATATAGAGCTAATTTATTTTTTTCCTGTTCAAAGTATCATTAAGTTGATAGAATCTGATTTATGATAATTTTCAATAATTTAGTATAAAATATCACTTAGCCTAGTTATTATAGGAGATACTTATTAAATATTGACAGGACTAATGAATATGTATAATGGTATCCTTACTGGTAATGACATTATTATTATTATCACTACCACTATAATAATTGTTAGTAGTATTAGTAGTAGTAGTAGTAGTAGTAGTAGTAGTAGTAGTAGTAGTAGTAGTAGTAGTAGTAGTAGTAATCGCCACTGAATTTAACATGTATGCTCCAGTGACAATGTGCAGGTTTTTCATAGATTAACTTTGATTTTTCATTGTACTACGAAAAGTTGTGAAAATGCGATTGATATTACTCTATGATATATATATATATATACATATAATGTTTATTTGGATTAGAGAAAGTTAATCATTCAATACAAAAGCAGTCATTATTATTGTTTAACCTATTTTTATTGATATATATTGATGACAAATCATACGAAAATAAATGGAGAGAATTTTCATACCTTCTCATACATTACAAACAGCGGGACGTAGAGAGTGTGTGTGTTGGAAAGTTTGTTTGCTTCATTCCTCATTTATTGTTGTTAGCATTCATATCAAACTGAACATCAATGGAAATTATATACATTTTATGCTTATTAAGGCTATCAAATAAACTATTCAAATTATAAACTAACGATTTTCTTTGTCAATAATGATAAAAGAGTAATCCAGTTAATTTTCAATCAGTTTATATGACCGACACTAAAAAAAATAGTGTATGTAATTATCATCTAATGTGAGAAAATGCTTACTTTTAGATTCTTATTAATTAATAATACCTTAACTTCATCATGGATACATTTCTGATGTAGAGTGAAAAAAAAAGTTTCTTTAGTGATTGTCATTTGAGATATTGTTGTTCGTCACAGTTTTCTGTCCGATCATTTATCACTCATCTACATTTACTAAGTTTTACAACATAAGTCGATATATTCAAGTATATGTTAATTCTCCATTGATTTTATATTGGAAAATATTGTGCTGTTTGTCTGATTATTCTAATCAAACAAGCACTGTCCAATGATAGGATTAAAGTGGTCAAGATATATGTTACGAACTTAAAAATACTTACCTACTCGTGATACGCTATCATGTACAGCAAAGGAATGTGTCAGTTCAAATGACTAAAGGTTAGTCAAATCAAAGTCCACATAGTTTATAAAGTTATGAATCGCTAGATAGAAAAATGTTAAAACTCCTTCGATAATACATGTTAGTTAATCATTATTGGAAACTTTGAGTGGCATGGTTCAAAATATACATCTGTAGGGGACATTAGATCCCCAGAACTCACTTAAAAAAGGTCCTAATTTTGTAATGTTATTCTGAAATTTTGAATTTCTATGTTTTCGCGCTGGAGATGCTAAAATGACTTTTAGCTTGTATATACCCATCGGAAAATCCTTGACTGCCATTGGTTGATGGATTATTTTAGTACTCTATTTCGTGGCCCTCCAAAGGGCTTTTCTATCATTGTATAAATAAGAGTGATTCGTGTGCTGGCCAACCTCATATTTTCTGGGTGGCTGTAGAATACACTTCCCACGCCTTATCAAAACTTCTTGATATAGTTAGCCGGGCGGACGGCAACGGATTAGAATAGCCTATCATGTCATTGTATCGTTGATCTTTTCATTTACCGAGCATATCGACTGATAGGCTTATCAACATCAATGTCCTTTAGATATTGAGTTTCATCAATTTTTTAATGGTTTTTATTCTCTAACTTGGGTATTTCTTCCTTTTAGTTAATGTCTGCTAACAATTGGTATTTTTATTCAGTTTGTTTAAGCTGCATTTCTCTGAATTCTTCTACTCTGTGTATTGATGCAAACTATGGCGATTTATACAGATATATATACACTTATCGTTGATATCTTAAATTGTTCCAAAACGTGACAACAGTAGACGTAAACGTTCAGAAGGATTCAGACAGCCTTTTTTTTATTTTCCAATATTTGAATTTTTTTTTGCAATTCCTCATTTTGTTCAGTCCAAACTAAATTCAATTCTTACCTACACTATTCACATGTAAAAAAAATACTAATAATCATAATATTAACATAGATTGCATGCAATAAAATTCGTCACAGCGTTTGTTTTTTTTTAATTTAAAAACATTATTATTATTATTATATTCGTCAAAATAACAAGAATATTGAAAACAAACTGCAATCAATACTATCACGACTTCTTCCTCTCCATTGGTAAAGCTTCATGACCAAAATGCCTTCATTGGAATAATAAAAACAAACAAACAAACACCAAATTAAAAATAATTTAAACAAAAATAAAAATTTCAATTTTTTTTAATCATATTTAGCATTAATAATGATGTGGAATGTTAAATCTGTAATCAACAAAATACACCGAAGACAATAATAGTAATGTCGGAAAAACAACGTGAACAACTATCAACTAACTTCATTAACGGAACTGTTGGATGTAAGAACCCGAGAATGTTGAAACTAAACAGAATTTTATCATTAGTAATATTAGTTTGTCTCTTATTTGTAGTTGTATGGAATAGAAAATTAAATTACACACACTCAACTAAGAGTGAAAAATTTTTGGAAATTGAGAATTTCACTCCAATTAGAATTTAAATACCAATCGATATGCTTTTTTTTGTAAATTATGACAAGGAATCTATAAAGATTGTACTTTATTCAAAATCAATTTTCATCAGTGATTGACATCGATTGAAAAAGTTGTTTTGTCTGAATGTAAACTTTTGTCATTATTACATATTCATGAGCTCATAATAGACTGAACCTTATATATATTGCTGTTTTCTTTCGTAAAAAAAGAAGCTTATTCTAAATAAAATATAAAGAATCTATAAGTTTTGATTTAAATTATTGATTATCTTTTAAACTTCCATAAGGGCACCAGTTATGCTTTATAGTAAGTAGATCAACGTGATACGCTTCATCATTACTAAGAAACGTGATTGATTATGTAGAATTACTAGCCAATGATAGATTACGCATTGTGATGTTGTTCTCAACTGTACTATAACTTTTTAAAAGACTTTTGAGTGAAATAGCAACAAAAAACTTTAAATTGAATATGAGAGTGAGGAATGATTATAAAGGAAATCGTATGGTACAACCACATTAGTGAGTACTTAGAATGAGTACAAGAATAATTTACCATAGGCCCTCGGTAAATAGACTACAACTGCCTGCAATCAGACGAAGTTCAGAGTAGTGTTAAATTACTTGATCTGGAAGTAAACTGCCTCTTCATCAATAGAGTAAAATAAAATGGCATTTTGTTGTTATATAATGACTGATTTCTGATCAGTCGGACTTCTGTTAATGAAATACAAATTATTGAATGGCTTAGATTTGTGTTACCAAGAATTTTTGATGAACATTACTTTCAGCTGTCATCCATAATCGTTTGAATACATCAATAATCAGTGAACAGAAATGGTATGGTCGTCACTAGGTATGCTCAAAACTATTTCGGGTTCACCTCAGTCGATAAACGAGAACGAGATAACGAACCAGCTAGGCTACTGTGATCTCTTGACCAAATTGTACCAGCAAGAAGTCTTGATATAGCGTAGAAAGTATATTCTACAAACACCCAGCAAGCAGAATGCAATCAAGCACACAACTCTAGTTTATTTATACATCATAGAAACATCCTTGGGACAATCACAAAAATAGCACACTAAAATACACAGCAGCCAATCACAGCCATTGATTTTCCTGATGGGAAATCAAATCTCTAGGTCAACTGATCAGTCTATGCTCGGAAACATAAAATGCAAAATCAAGGCATTTATCAAGCCAGTTCTGAGGATCTGACGTCCCAACAAGAAATTTAATTGATACATTTATCTCATTCTATAATTAAGTATGTTGATTATTATAAAAAGAATTCCTAATTGAATATCATTGGAATGGCGCAAAACAGAAACCCAATGGGTAAACCAACAAATTTCAATAAATGAAAATCTTATTTACTTTCTTCCCTGTTAACCACTTAATCAAATATAAATATATATGTATATATGTACAAAATAATTATCTCCACCTGAAGCCTCTGTAGGGTTGCTATCGGTCACAATCTTGAATCAAGGAGGAAGGTCGAACATGGGATTAGAGACCCTATGCCGTAGAAAACAAACTTGCTAAAAAAACAACACTGAACAGAACAAATATTTCAAATCGAAACAAATCATAATTAACATTAGGAAATCATTGAGTAAATACGAACCAGAGTATTCAGATAAATTAATCGAGTCAAATATTTTTCATAAAATGATAATTGATAAATAATATTTTGACTAAAACTACATTAGAAATACAATGTAACAGTTACATAAATAATATTCACCCTATTATTATAAACAAAATCATTCTGATCATATGTCAGTTACTGTATATTGTAATTTAGATCTTGATTAGATACAATAACAGTGAATACATTCTAAAATATCAACTGTTGTCTAATATTTACATACTTCATTCATAAAATGTAGTTGAATAGGTGAGTAAATACTAAATTTAAAAGTTTATTCTACTTTGAAAAAATAAAAGTAAAGTTTTCCTGATGAGTAAACGGTTTACATCACTGTAGTCGCATCATATTCATCAGCAATGCTGTTTGCCTTTTTTTATTGTGTAAACTAGTGAATTTCAGTCGAATCATTTTATGCTCATTATGTCGTCATGTCATATCAGCATTTTCGTATTCCTTATGAGTTAGGTTTTATCTATAAATGTAATTGTATACTTCCATTCATTCTCTAGGTGATGTTACTTTACGAGTAAAGTACTTTAAAAAAATCATCCTTTCTTCTTTGTTTTAAAATATCATTCAAACAATCAATGCTATTCGCTTAGTCAACAGATTAATCTAAGCATTCAGTGTCGAGAGCAACCGATTTTAATATTACTTTCAAAGATATAACATTCTAATTTGTAACCGATAATGATTATAGGAATTTACTTTTTTTAACAGAAGTAGCTCTAAGTAGTTAAGCATACATTGCAAAAACTGGTGTATTTGTAATGATTAGTAACTTCTTTATAACGTCTAATTCAGTTATATAATAATCTACTTGTTCAATGAGCTATCTAAAATAAAAAAAATACATGCAAAACTTCAAAATACTATCTGTTACCTAATTCATAGGATATTTTAGCGAGATATATTATTTGGCCGATTTCTTCCTAATGAATGTTTTTACCTCATGTTATAGTCAATTGAATTTCTCAGTTAGAATA